AACCCCGCCGCTGACCCTGTCACCAGTCGAATCGATTTCCACCAGTGTTCGTCACGGAAAACAACAAAGACCAAATCGCGTATGAATCGCATATATGTTTCAGGCCGAAACACGATTAAACGTGTGTATACTCCTGCCTGATTTTCTGTGATGGTTGAGAAGTAATTTTTTACAAAGGCTCGCAAACGAGTAACTTACATTCGGGTCTGACGGCATATGTACACCCGTGAAACATATTCTTCGTATGAAAAGGAAATTTCAAGTGCAAACTGGACAGAGCATATGGGGTCGAAACTTATACTAATCTCTAAAAACGCATCGAGGTTATCATCTGTTCTTTGACCGCTGAAGAAAAAAACGACTACTAATGAGCAATGATAAATTAAAGACGCGCATATGCAATTAAGGAAGATGTCGGAAAATGAACACAACACATTTCCTCGTGTCATATTTACCAATAGCCAACGCCTCAGATACCTGTCTTTCAGTATGTCACCCAAACTTTGACATTTCTGCTATCGCTGCTTAAAAACCAATGATATTTGCCATTGCTACTGTCACGATGGATTAATTTTCAAGAATTTTCGTGCAGCCAATCGCAAATCTTTGGATGCAGTGAATTAAGCACTGCATCCAAAGAAATTTGTAGAAAGGTTCTCCTTGAAGAACGGTTTCAGACATTGCCTTTCAAATTAGGTTTTTCTAATGATTTCGTTACGTCAAACAATGGAATTAAGAGACTGCCAACTTCAGGTACAAAGGTTTTCGGGGATATAGTACGAGTGATTTAATAGGATTCAATAAACTGTGTAAGCTGCCAATAAACATACAAGAGATAGTGCAAAATGCACAGTAATAAGATTCCGGTCAGCTGTACAGTTCCATCAGCAAATCGATGCTGAACGTTATGAAAAAGCCGTATCTTTTAGACGGATGACTACTAAAGTGATATTAGTCAGTCACTCAAGATTACTTAAATGAACCTTAAGACGGGCGATAAATTGCAAAACCGCGGACATAGCAAATGAAATTACAAAACAACCAAACAAGTACATTGAAAGCGGATCAATATCAGATTCACTAGAGTCTGGTCCAAAATAACTCATCTTCTCTCCTGGCATTGATCACACATCATACAGCGAAATACGCAATAAATAACGTTATTACGGTATGAATGAAACGCTTTGGATTTGATCTCTGCCATGAGGTCAGTGTGGTAAGAAACCATTTGTTAGGAGCATATCTTCAAACTCTATCCAAATGTACCTTCACAGTCAGTGACATGTGCTAACCCGTTCGGAAGATCATGACGATGAGGCTTAATCAACTGCTTGTAAAGCATCTTGACGCTGCTGTCTACGATTGAGAAAAATGAGGGCGGCCGGTCAAAATAGTTCAAGCGTATATAACAGTGAAAAGGCAAGTAGAACCTGGTGGCACAGTGATAAGAGGTCAACTTCGATCTCTGGAGGTGTCGGACTCGAATCCTGAAAAAAACTCTTAACCGCTAACTCCCTGAGAAAAGAATACACCCTACACTGTTTTGACGCAACCAATCAAGAACCAGCTAGCCAGTGATTGAGTTGTGAAAAACAGATACAGTATGGTATTCAGAATGGACAATATGTACGGTCACACTGTCTGATCGAAGTGCTTCTAGTGGTTACACGTCTCGTCTCAACGTGTAATATTCCAGAAAGGACCGCCAGAACGGAAAAGGCGATATGTTTTCTTCACTGAAGAAACATTGACCGCGCAACGGCCAACTGCCATAGAGCATGAGTGTAGTGAGGATGACTATCAGATACCCACGCCGCATCACCTGTATCGTGTTTTGATACAGATGTGGAGCACCTTCTGTCTTTCTGAAAATAAACCTATGACTTATGACGTCATACTAACGTGTGCAGGTTCAAATAGTCCTTTTCCAGAACCCGTTACCTTTCTTGATAACTAAAGGCATTTTTCAAATTAGCGAGGCCGTCGTATAAAACTCAATTTTTAGAAGCGCAATCAGGCGATAGGTAATAAACAAAGCCAATCATTTTGCGGGAACACATCTGGCGTTGGTTAAAATGTTCAGACGGCGGGTGAACATCGATTTTTCTGCTCTTTGGCACTTCGTTTTACCTTAACTTGTTAATGTGTAAAGGCATGACATTTAAGCAGCTGATGCTTCGAACTGAAATTAAATTCGTTTGATCACAACAACGTCGGTATAACGTGACTTTTTAATTGTTA